GTCCGCCCGCCCGCCCGCCTGCCTGTCTCCCTGCTTGTCTGGCGAGCGGCTCCGCCGAGTCTGCTCCGCGCCGTCGCGGGGGCTGGAGGGAGAGCGCGCAGCGGGTCGGAGCTGCGTCCCTGGCCTTTGCGGGAAACAGAGCCCGGCGCTCTTAGGAGCTGTAAGGATGAGGTTGAGGGAGAGGTTTCCTGTTTGTTGTGGGGGGTGGGAGGTGGACAGCTATAATGCCCCTGCCTGCCCTCCGCCCCCAGCCCCGTTGGCTTCCGATACCAAGAACAGAGGCGGGAGGGGAAGGGAGGGGAGAGAAAGAGCAGATTGTGCGGAAGGGGGCTGACCAGAGGGCGGCCTGGCTGTCTGAGGGGTGTGTGGAATGAATAGCTAGGTTTGAGGCAGGGGGAGCAGAGAAAATTCGGGTGATGGAGAAAGAAACTCTGGGTCTGGATTAAAATAAGGCCTGCGAGGGAGGGAGGGAGAACACCAGCTTTATTTCGGAGTGTGGGGGGAGGATCCTTTTGAACCCTTTTATTTGAAATGGAGGAGTGTGTAAACCATCCCTGGGATTGCTGATGCCTTTTGAGAAAAATCAAAAATTTCCAAGTGGGGGAAAAATATGTAAATCACTTCAATATTGGCTTTTGGAGGCGAGACAATTTGGTAGTGCAACAGTATATGCCTGTTGAAATTTGCATTCAGAACAAAAAGATGTGCATTGTTCTTGAGATGTGTAATAGGGAGAGGAGTTGAGGGGGCTTCCTTCCGCATGTGCAACTCCAAGAATCTTCAGAGGCTGGGCTGCCATATTGTTTAATAGTCAATAGTGTGAGGCTACACACATTTTAAGTCAGGGGTAGGTCTCATTACTTTCAGTGGATCTTACTTCCAGGTTAGTGTTAGACTGCAGTCTTATGAGTGTTTTCCTATGAAAACACTCATAAGTATTAGAACCTTATTTGTAAATAAGCAGGCTTAGTGAAGGGTTTTAAGGATGTAGTCTGATGTACCCTTGTATGGATCCTAGGGGTACTTGCATCTGGGTAGACCTGCAGAAGATTGCACTGTACAGTATTTAATTTTCAGTACGTTCATGTAGGTATGAAGCAGGTTAGTCTGGGTTGTAGGTTAATTTGTTCAAATTTATCCATCATTTTCTAAATAGCAAAAAAATGTATACAGTTTATTAAATGGAATCCTGAGTACTGGTATGCTTCTGAGCTTTCCACTGTGTACATCATATCACCCAAATTCTGCACTTTTATTTTAAGATTTTTAGAAGAGAAAACATGTTTAACAATAATTTATTTAGCTGTGTTTTGATTAATGAAAGCAGAGTTTGGTATTGAAAGAGGAGCCGACTAATCTACCAAAGTCCTTGTGACATTTTTTTTATTTAGCAGACAATCCCTTCCCCAATGCATCCACTCATAGCTCCTGTTCTAGCCCTGAATTACTGTACATCATGAAATCATGGTACCAGCTCATAGTGATGCAGGAATAGATACCTGAAGTATGTATACTTGTGAATCTGGCAGGTTTTTTGCAGCCAAAGTACTGAAGTTAGCCACAGTTTATATTTAAAAAGCAAGACAAAATGAAATAAATGTCTGGTGTTCCATGTTAACACCATTCCTACTCAGGGATCGTGTCTCTTCCCACATGTTTCTGTTGCCCTTTGTTTTTGAAAGGATGAATTTCAGACTGAAAGAGGTGCTGTTTCATGGTTGGCGCCCTTGTGCCTCATAATTTTTACCCAATGAGGATATGCAGGTAGCATGAATACAACATTTGTAGTATCCCAGTGGTACAGAAAAATATTAAACCAAAGTATGTATCCTCAGAGAAATGTATCTGGTGCAGCCACTGTGAGATACAAGAAGCTGGACTAGATAGGCCCTTTGCTTGATCCAGCAGGGCTCTTCTTGTGTCCTTATGTACAGTTTTAAAAACATGACCCAAATTTACTGATGAGTAGGATAACTTCATTATAGTCAAGGACCAACAGAAATTTACTGTATACATATACAAGGTTTTAGCATAAAACCATCAAGGTATTACTCTCAGGCAAAATCCTGCTCCAAGACCCAGAGTTCAACCACAGAATGCAGGTGAGCTTTCAGACCGCAAGCTGAGTGGTTTGATTTCACTGTTGAGTTATCAGACTCTCCTTCAAAGTAGAATTGGGAAAGAATTTCCGATAGAGAAAGTGTTGTTTTGAAGCAAATATGAAGACGAAAATATTTTCCAACTCTCCCAAGAGGTGCTGTTTCTTTGATTTAGTTTATAAAATCATGCCCTGTGACAAGAGAATAGAGATGAAAAGGAGATTCTCTAACTTTTTCTTTCAATGCAGAGGCTTGCAGTAATCAAATAAATAGATTAATTTTCCTGATTAGATTACTTTTTCCAGTACCTGCTGGAAGGAAGAGCACCATTTTCTCATTGCATCTGCCTATGCCCAAACGGGGTACTGTTTTAGAAATTGAATTAAACAAAATCACATCCTCCAGATCAATTTTCTAAAATGGTACTAATGTGGATTAAAATTCCCACTTCCCCCATAAATATGCGTTGAAAAAGATGGAAGTACCTTCTTCTGTGACATTTGTTATAAAAGAAGGCTCCGGGGGCATTGAAGGATAATTACTGTACTTTCTGTTAAGTGATAAAGTAGCCTCAGTAAGGGGGTGCACAGGCAATGGGATGATACACTATGTGCTCTATGTGGCAAATGGGGAGAGGAGAGATACAGAGCAGTCATGTGCAGCAGGCGAAAGGGTGCTAATGTTTGTAGAATTCTCTGGCTTGCTTTACATCACTTTCTTTTAAACAGCAACCCAACTCTGATTTGGCTTGTCCTTTGGGATTTAGGTTAATAACAGCATGAGGGGCACTCCCCTTCATGTGATGGAGCAGTGGGCATCACTCTTTTCACTGCTGTCCATGGATGGGAAGTGAGGGCTCTGCTCTGATGACTGATCATGCTGGTGTACAGTTCACATGATTGTTCCCGCAGAGCTTGGATGCACCTGGAGGCCACAAAATGAAATGTTGGACTAGTGTGCCACTTCATAAATGAGATCATATACAGAAGGAGGGGAAATAAAAGGGCCTGGTGCATATAATATGCAAGCTGTGTGACAGAATTGGGAGTGTTCCTAAAGTCTGAATACCACCTAAATACTAGCCTGCAAGTGACAAGGCAAATATTGAATAATAGCTTGGGGTTACTTGTGTAGTTAATAGCGTCTCCATTCTCTAATGTTGAAAATTTTGCTGGAAAAGTGACATACAGCCCCTCAAGGTGTTTTGCTGGCCCCCATTTTTCATTCCTCCAAAAAACAGAGAACTATGCATTGTTCTCTAAAACAAGGCATGCCATCCCATACCTTGTTTTAACTTAAATAAAATAAACAATTCCCCTTCCAATTGGAAGAGTTCCGTTTTTGGAAGCAACATTCCAGTCACTTTCAGTTTCACCTGGGGGAGGCTGAAGTGACCCATGGAGAGTCTGGGGGCTGGGAAATGATCCTTAGACCCTGCTAACACTGGAGCCTGTAGACGCTAAGCATTTAATTAAGGAAATTTGTGGACTGACTTGTCTTCAGTTTGCAAGAACTGGACTAAGTGGTGGCTAAATAATCTGCAGGTGGATCCCGTTGTGATTTTATGGTTCACAAATTTGGCGAGGTGGACCATGCATGAGGATGGTACCGAAGATCAACTGGCTGATGCAGTAGTAGGATGGTGAGTGTACGACAGATGTATAAAAATGTTTGAAATTCAGAAATGATGAGAAAGAAGGAGATTAGATGTCAAAAATGTTTGAAGGGGGAGGGACAGAGTCTGAAGTATTTCATGAATTTCTGCTTGCTTTCACTGACTTTTATTTGGCTTATCTTGCACACAGATCAAGCTACCCAGGCTAATGGAATTGAGATATACCTTTTTTATGTTCCCTGTAATACCATGAGTATGCAAAATATTTTTGAAGCTGATTTAAACAAAAAGGATACCGTACACACATTTGGATAAGTTGTTTTTTTCCTCCAAAGAAAATAACTTATTTTGTTGACAAATCCCAAACAGGCACAGGCATTTGTTTTAGGTGGGGGGCAGCTGCCTTTTCTAAATTATCAACATATACTTGAAAATGCCATTTGCTAATCATTGTCTAGGAAGTAGGATTTATACATTTGGTAATATTGCACTCAGAATGAGCCATTAGAGGTCACTCTTTATTCTTCAAAAAGGAACATATTTTATTTTTTAATATTTATTTTCATTGAGCTTCACAAAGAATACTCTCACTTCATCCCATTCAGCATATGTTGCTTCATTAGTTCAAGAAAAGGCTTACCAGCAACCGTAGAAATTCTAGTTTTCTACAGTAATAATCATAAATATATTATTAAATAATTATTTTATTTAAATATATTTAAATTATTTAATTATCGTACAACATCAAATGACATTAAATATCCCCAAAATATTTATTGTTTGGGAGATCAAGTGAGGGAAACTGTTATGTGTTGTGATATATTTCTGTATTATATGTTCTAAAGTTTCATTTTGTGAATTAGTGTGATAGCTTCAATTATCAGGCAGTATAGAAATCAGTTTTAAAATAAAAGAAAAGAACACAGTCTTCTCCATTCTGTCTTATGTATGACTTGAGCAATTTCATTTTAACAGTCAGGTTTGTAATTATACCTAGTACGGACCTAAGTCTTTAGAAATCTTGGAAATCATCTGTGTGAGTTAGTTCACATGTTCTCAGGTGCAGATGAAAATGGAACTTAAACCTCCAAAATCTGTGTAAGCTAGCCACATTATAACACACCTGAGTTAGAGAGGCAAAAATGGGACACTCAGCATAATAGTAGCAACTGTATAGAAAAGTATACAGTGGTGCCTCGCTTAACGATGTTAATTAGTTCCAAAAAAAACATCGCTATGGGAAAACATCGTTGAAACACCATTTCCCATAGGAATGTATTGAAAACCGATTAATCCGCTCCAATGGAGAGTTCAATGGATTTAAAGGGGAAAAACAAAAAATCGGTTAATCTGTTCC